CTATTACTATTAATCCATTTTTTAATTTTTGTAAATTCAGTTCCAACCACCTCTAACACTTTTTTAATATTGTTACCAGAAAAAAAATTTGTGTCATCTGCAAATAAAATAAACTTAAGCAATTTAGAAATCATAGTAATATCGTTGATATGCAAAAGAAAAAGTATCGGTCCAAGGACCGATCCCTGTGGTACTCCACAACTAATATACTGCACAGCAGACTTTCTACCACCGATTTCCACAAACTGTCTTCTATTTTTCAAATAACTTGTGATCCAATCAAATGCCAGTCCTCTGATACTGTATTTATGTAATTTAACCAATAATATTGAGTGATCTAAAGTATAGCTTTTTGTAAATCTACAAATACGTACAATAATGTGGCAAAGTTGCATAACAAAGGAAGTTAAAACCTCTCATTTCTCCACCCCTCAGGCTGTTTGCTATCTAGATGAGTATAATGAGATGCTTGACTTTATTGTGAGATGGTGTGAGAAGGCTAAAAGTCTGGTGAGGGCAAACATCATCTGGAACTCTTCTGTTCACCTGCAGGAGCAGATCCGAATGTACCAGGTGAGTGGACATGGTCAAATGTTAGAAAGTGGTCAGACAGGCCTTTGACTCAATGTTTCTTTGCACTTAGGCTGTGTTTCGTGAGTCCAGAGAGCTCCACGGAGACCTTGAGTCCATGGCAGAGAAAGCAGAGCTCCTGTCTGAGGTTCTGCAGGTTGAATCAATGAGCCGAGAGGTTTGTGGCCTCAGTCGGCACACCGATGAGCTGCAGCAAAGCATCAAAACACGACTGCAGAGCCTTCAGGATGCACACAAGGTGAAGAAAAACAAACATTTCTGCTTTTGTTTTGAGTGTTTCGATTTGATCCTCGGCTCTTAGTGTTTTTAATGATCTTGCATGTGTAGAGTATGGAAGCCCTGGAGTTTGAGGTGAAGGCCCTGCATGTTGCCCTGGAGCAAATCCAAGCAACGCTGACCTCACCGGAGTTAGCCCACCAGAGCCTCAAAGATCAACTGGCTCAGAGACAGGTGACTATTAATGTAGTCTTTACTTTGTTCATGAAATACTTTAAACATAAATCTTATGTTATGATTGGTAAATGGTCTGTCACAATGTAAACTGGGTTTTGCAGCGCCTCTTGGCAGATATGGAGAGCTTGAAGCAGCAGGTGCAGGCAGTGCAGCTGTGTCAGAGCACGCTGCAAGTTCCTGAAGAAGTGATGCCTAACCTGGCAATCTGCCGCACAGCTCTGCGTCTGCAGCAAGAAGCCAGTCACTTACAGCATGTGGCCATCCAGCAATGCAACATACTGCAGGTACAGCAGGGGGCGCTGTGACATTACAGCAACTGAAGTTCAAACAGTTATTATTAAAGGGATCCACTATTAGTTGTAACATTAGACTTTATTTAATAAACATATATTTTAACTGTAAAATAAAGACTGTAAAAATACTGTAGGCTGTTCAGTTTTTATCATTTTTAAACTAAAAGTTTAAAAATATATTACACGAACAGGGCCATTTTATTTMCACACAAAGCATTCTGGGTAAATGATGACGTGGATAGGTCCTCGGTGCGAGGCTGCTAGCGAGCTATATCCACCCTGAAGGTTAATCTTGGACAATATCTGATGATCGACTCTTTTAAATGAAACCAGAGAGCGTTGACAGAGAGGAGAAGGTAGAAATGACTCAGCCTGGAACTGAAAATATGGATGGAGGACAACAGAGCTGCTTCATGGAAGAAGAACCTCAGCTTAGTCTGTTAGCTTTAGCGTTAGCCCCGATGCTATCACCATATATATGTATTAGCTCAGCGCTACACATTCTCCTCTAGTCACTGAGGTCCTCCATCCACATGACAGAGAGGGGAACACAAAAATGCCTCAGCTGTAACTGAAAATATGGATGGAGGACCTCAGTTTAGCTTGGTTGTTGCGCTAGCACCGAGCTAATACATATAAAGCAATATAGTGTTGGCACTAGCGCAAAGGCTAACAGGCTAAGCTGAGGTTCTTCTTCCATAAAGCAGCTCTGTTGTCCTCCATCCATATTTTCAGTTCCAGGCTGAGTCATTTCTACCTTCTCCTCTCTGTCAACGCTCTCTGGTTTCATTTAAAAGAGTCGATCATCAGATATTGTCCAAGATTAACCTTCAGGGTGGATATAGCTCTCTAGCAGCCTCGTACCGAGGACCTATCCACATCATCATTTACCCAGAATGCTTTGCATGTAAATAAAATGTCTCCGTCCGTGTTAAAATATATTTTTAAAATTTAAAAAACTAAACAGCCTACAGTATTTTTATAGTCTTTATTTTACAGTTAACATATACAGTATGTTTATCAAATAATGTCTAATGTTACAACTGATCAGGGATCCCTTTAAAGGCACAACAAGCAACTACATTTTCATCACTGCCAGGTTTCTCTGTGTGGTTCATTGTATAAATGTATTTCTAAAAATGTGATCATTTTATATTTTTAGACAAATGTGTTGGTTTGTGCTGCTGAAACTGTGACAAACCAAAAACTAAAACACGTTTTTTTCAGGAGGCTGTGGTTCAGTACGAGCAATATGAACAGGAGGTGAAGGACCTGCAGGGCCGGATCGAGGAAGCACATCGGGTCATTCAGGACCGACCAATCCCCAGCAGTAACATTCAGGAGCTGCAAGCACAGATCCTCCACCATGAGGTAAAACATGCCCACCCTGGAGACGTAACCCCAGACATGCCTTCAATCTTCTATAAACTGATACAATAGAATACGTAACACCCAACCTGTGAGCTCATAAATGACTGGACGCGAAAAAGCAGTTTGAAACACAGACCAACTCTGCTGCGTCTGATACAATGTAAAGCAGTTGTCTTCCAAGTCATACCTTTTTTTTTGTTTGGTTTTTGTGCAGGAACTTGCTCAGAAGATCAAAGGTTACCAGGAGCAAATAGCTTCACTGAATTCCAAATGCAAAATGCTGGCAGTGAAGGCCAAACATGCCACCATGTTGCTGACAGTGAGCGATGTGGAGGGATTTCCTGAAGGCATGGAGGACATGGACGGAGAAAAATCCACAAAGGCTTCAGCACAATATGTCACAGTAAGAGAACACAAACTGATGCAAAGTTTTACCTGAGAACAGAGTTCAGCCGAGGTTTTTCTTCCATAGAGGGAATAAAAGATGTAGAAACTATAAGATATTTACTGATTTTATCAAACAGGAACAGCGTGTGTGCCATGTGACTGTAAGTTCTGTGGAAACATGGGTGAAATAATTCGACAACTCATGCATTTAATGGGAAAAGAGCAGATAACAATGTTTGCATTTATTAAATTGTCACATTGGTTCCTGCAGATCCTTAAAAAGTCTTAAAAGGCCTTAAATTCATCAATCTAAAAATAAGGCCTAAATTAGCCTTAAAAGGTCTTAAATCAATCTTCAGAAGTCTTAAAAATGGGAACACATTGTAAGTAGGATGACTGTAATTCATGTCAAATATTAAAATAATTAAAAACATTTATTTATTTTTGAAATATTCCCATTCAGATGTTCCCCTTTGACATCACTTCCTGTTATTTCACATGCAAAAATCTCAATAACTGTTCATCTGAGCAATGTGAAATTTGTTTTCTAATATGTTAATAATGTTGCCTTTCCAAAAATGTATTCATTTTTCTTACAAACATTTTATGTCACGTGCACATCTACAGCAAGCTGGGGTTGAGACCCCACTGTGGGTCATAAAACTCCAAATTTTGGGTTGTTAGAGGATTTTCAGGAATTAAAACAAGTTTAAAACTGCCTGCTAAGAATGTTTTTGCTATATTTGACAAAATAGCAGTTAGATATGGATAAAAACAAATTGTCTGTTAGCAATATTTGAACAATTCAACCAAAAGGACTTTGATTCACGAGTTTCTGCCACAGTTTTATTTTTTTGTCATTTGTGTTTATTATGAAATTGGTCTTAAATTTGATTTCACTTGGCATCAAAAAGTCTTAAAAAGTCTTAAATTTAACTTTCATTAAACTGTAAGAACCCTGACATTGAAGCACCACCTAACGTTGTCTGAACATTGAGAAGAAATTATTCCTTTTATCAATACATTGTCAGGAGAGAGTGTAAACAAAGTGTTTATCCATAAATAAAGTATTACATCCACTCTAGTTAAACTTTCAGCACTTTGTTCACAAAACCAAAATAATGAAAACAAAACCTCATAATGTAAACCAAACACCCTCCTCACATTTCTTTCCTGGACATTAGTTTACAAGCTTAATGTGACCGTTTAGATATGGTGACGTTGGAACTGATGGTTGTGAAACAAGAACACCTCAGCATTTTGGGCATTCCTCCTGTTGTTTAAACACATGATTGAAAGCAGAAGCTTTCTGTTAAATCAACTGAAAAATCCCAAAAAATGTTGTTTGGACTGTAATTAAAAACAGTTCTCATAAATATTTTTATTTATAAAATAAAAATTTGTTATTTTATTTACTGTGGAACATAGTAAATGATTAAAATGATGATTTAAACCAATGATTAAACTAAGAAATTGTACCATATTTCCAAAGAACTAAGGTAATTAAAATTTTAATGGCAGAAGCACATCTGAAATAACTTGGGCCAGGAGCAACAAAAGACTTTAAAAGTAAGTGGTAGGAATAAAAATACCAGTTAGTCACTAAACAGGTTGATGAACAGGTCAGTCAGAGGACTGAGGGAGAAGGAATGTGTTGAAGTAAAGAAGGGCAGAGGTTCACCAGTCTGCAAAAAACAGCATCTAAAATGATTTCAGAATAATTGTTCTACTGGAAATTAGAAAGACTTTGAATCGCCATAATCTTCAATTCATAATCTGCAGACATCTCTGAGCTCAAAGACTGAAAGTCAACAATGGATGGTTGTGATCTGCCCTCAGGGGCCACTGCATTAAAAACAGGTCTGGTTCTGTTCTGGACACCACTGCATGGACTCAGGAACACGTCCACTCATCATCTGTAAACACAGTTCACTGTGCATCCACTGATGCTGCTTAAAGCTCTATTAGACAAAGAAGAAGCCATATGTGAACCTCATCCAGAAACTCTGTTGTCTTTTAACTAAAAATCAGTTAAAATGAGACAAATCAGACAATAGTCTATATGCCACCGACATCCGGTCCAGCAAGTGATGCCACTCCGATCACTTCCTCGTGGTCAACACAGTGTTAGCGAAAGACTTTTTCACCCGACAACGACTCTTAATGATCTCCACAGTACAGAACTACATATTACATGTTCCAACATTAACACAGGAGACGTACAGGTCCAGCCAAGTGGAAAAAAATCACTCCAAAGTGGATTAAAGCCATAAAAACAAAGGAAAGACATTCGTGTTTATGGTTCCAGAATTTAGCCTTTTTCACTATTCCTTGGCTGCTTGTTCTGTGAATTTTTCACGCAGAGATGGTTTGGATCGTTTTCCCCGATGTTAGTGAACTGAAAACATAATGATTATCAGGAGGTTCTGCTGCTCTCGGTGCTCGGGGGTAGGGGGGTCGCGTTCGCTGCTCGTGTTTTGTTTACGCTGTAATATGCACTCTAACAAGTTTTTACTTTTGCATAAAACTCATGAAAAAGTTGCCTAAAAACATTTCATACTCTGTATAACACAAACGCACGCACACACCTACCTTTGTACCGGCTGCTGTATTAGCATCCTGTTAGCTTCCTGCTAGCTGTGAGGTGGTTTTTCCTCTCTCGTCTTGGCAGTAAAAGGGGATAAATGTACATTTCCCTTTTGTAACC